ATCAGGTGTATCTTTTCTTCTGCTTCGATTTAAACTGTTCGACTCAATTCTTAAAGTATTGGAAGGAGCATGTTTACAGAAAACAATATCATTTGCATCTGTTACGTGTACATTTCTCTTTGCGATAGTTGAGAAATCCTAGCCCTTATTACTTTTCTTTTTTAAGATTAAAAAACTTGCCATCTGAATTAATGTTTTAGAATTGAAATGTAGAAGAACTTTTAAAGGGTTAATCTCAGAAGGTAGAAAGGGTTTTCTTTGCACGTGGTGAAATTCAACTCTTCGCGGACACCGTAACTTATCGCTTTTTGGCTGAAATGGTGCAGACTCAACAGCAAGACCCAAAAAAAATCATGTTAGCAAAAACCTTTGAACAGGTATGGGCGTACATATTCAATCGATGCATATGTGACTCAGATGGACGGCGATACCGATATTACTGCTGAGCGCACCCATCGATGTCTTTCAGTGTGATCGTTCCATCGAACGCTTTCAGACGCAGCGCGATCGTTCCAATCCCCCATAACGTTAGCGACAGTCGAGAAGCATCTCAAAGAAATGGCTCTGGACTATGCTCACCGACTTTCGATCAATCCCACTCAAAAATATTTTCATCTGCCTGATCTCATGAAGCTTGACACATCGTTGCCGTTCAAAAATATCTCGTCCTTGGGCGTGTTATTTAGTCTTAATCTCAGATGAATATTGTGAGATGATGATTATGTTTAAATAGAGCTCGTCTCATTTGAAGCGCAAAACAGCTGCCTTTGATCTATGGATATTGGCTGCTGAAAATCGGCTGGCACGACCAGGCACATCGTCGCTTTTTATATCGTTCCTTCAAACTGGTGTATCCTCTCCTTTTTCAAAGGTTGTACTTGATGGGATAGACCATTAAAAACTGCTTTCGAGTGAGGAGCTAGTGAGTTCTTAAAATGCACAACAGTATAATTACAAGAAAATCCAAGATTTGCGGCTATTTTTGCTCCTGTAGGTATTTTCTCTGAACCAAACTAATTATTAATTAGTATGTGCATTATTAAGTATTTCAGATATTTCTTGTAAATATACGATGTGCATTTTGGAGATCATTTTAGAAACTAAAAATTGTCTATCTAGCCAACATCTCACAAGAAAATGTGAAAAGTTTTGCTAGCATCTTAATCAAAGCATATCTTAAAGCCCAGTGGCAATATTTCCTATAAAATCTACTTCTGTAACAATCACACCAGCCTTTAGCTTACTTTTCCGGGATTACGATTTGACTGTTGTGCGGATTTTAAATTGAGCT